AGGTTCTGCATCCAATCTCCTCATGGCCAGCCCCGTTATTACGAGTGCTCAAGGACTGTGTACCGGTATATGGACTCTTCGGCAGAGCTTGGCTGACCAAAATGTTGCTTCCCAGTGGAGTGCTGCATAGGAGCTGAGGGGATTGCTTTGAAATCAAGTCGCTCGATCCAATCCGTCTCAGCGCGGCCTCTTTCCTTGCGTTGCACACCCTCCACCTCTCGATCATGCAGGGTCGAATGACATAGCCTCGCATAGCTGCAAAAGCTTCAAGCCACACGCACCACAACGATTAATCGCACCATGCAGCATCCTGGCGTCCACCTGCGCAAGGTCGGGCACATGCAGGGTCCTCCACGTTCGCCTAGCTTTGACTTCAATGATTCCGCGCTCAGATCATTCAATCTATGATGAATGGGACACGATCACGCATGCTTGCCATCACGTGCTACGGAGTCGAGTAAATCGAGTGAATCCAACGGCTTGGCTCCCTCGATGCTCCACAAATTGGACCGATGAGAGAATACTGTGCAAGTGCATCACGATTGCAGACACTTGGAGGGTGCAAATACATATTGGGTGACAGCGTGATCACTTCAAAGTCGATGGTCGTACACCAGGCGGGCGCATCGTCACGCATCGAAGCGCTCAAGCGTTCTTGCCGATATAGTAGCTCAGCAGATCCTTGTGGTGGGGTTCAAGAGGCGCGAGAATCGAAAAGAGAATGTCCAGATCCTTGAGCCTGCTATTCGCCGTTTTAATCACATCCGTAGCAGCGATCCTGAGGTCCGTGTTGGGATCGGCAAAAGCGTCTTTGACAAAAGCTTTGAACCTCGGCAATTCCTCTTCCACCAGCTCGGCAGGCAGTCGAGCCAGAAGCTTGCGCAACGCATACAGACCCAGCTTGCGCACTCTTTCCCGTCCTGATCTTGACGCTTCGCTCTCGCGCAGCGCTGGCTCCAATGCGGACATCAGCGTGCCCAACCCTAGAATCGGCTCAATCCCGCTGCTCCAAGCATCGATTAGGGACTCGCAAGCGTTCCTCGAGACATTTTCTTTTTCAAGTCTCCGACGAAAGACGAGGCTCAGAAATTGCGTCTCCTTATCAGTCGAAGAAATGAGGGGCAGCTGGTTCTCCAGAATCCGTCTCAAGACGACCAGTGCAGCACCGGTGAGGTTGACATCCTGTGAGAGAAAGCGAGATGTCAGACAATGCTACGGATGGGCTGCTCGGATGACAGCGTCCATGCTGCATGCACGCACAGCACTGGGCAAGTTCAGATACCGCATGATAGCTTCCCACAGACGCTCAAATATCTGCGCTTCCCTCCATGCGGCAACGACCCTCTCAGAGTCCTGCTCAGCATCAGGTTGAAGTCCAAGAGCGCCGCCTCCGCTGTTTGAAAGGGCTTCGCCTCTTGTCGCAGCTTCAATGTCGAGTGGTGTCGCGCTGACCGGCAAAGGCAACTTGTATTCTCTCGAAAGCGCACCAAGCCTTTTGAACGTGTCGAGGTCCGCAGTTCCAGCATGAAGATTCGCAACCCACTCTTGCACGCCGGGCCTGTTGTTCAGGATTGAAATCGAGGTGCCTGAGGAAGATGCCTTGGCTTGCGGTGAATCTGTTGCCATTCCAGCAGCCGCGCTGTCGCCGCTGTCGCCGCTCAAGCCGTTCAGTCGCTCTTTCTTGGTATCTTCACTCGACGTCGCGCTGCTTTTGGCAGGCGATTCCCGGGGCGCTTGCGCATGACTCCGCTGCGCGAGCAGCAAACTGCGTCTCGTCGGTCGCTGAGGAGTAGGCGAAGCACTTTCCATGAGGTCGACGGAGGCGTCCGCAACACTCAGATCTGCCAATTGCACAGTCTCATCGTGGTCCGGCGTTGCCGCAGGCGCTCTTTGAGCTCGCACAGGTCTGACAACAGGGCGAGCTGTAGTTGACTCTGGTGATTTGCTCGCCCTTGAAGGCGCGAAAGCTGATGTTTGATAGGCAGCAATTCTGTCCTTCACGGAGCGCGAAGCGCTACCCGAGCTCGCGGAGCTAGGAATGGAATGTCCGTTGCCGGGTGTAGCGGGCTTGGCCAAATTGCTTGCTTGCGCTCCCGCTTGCTCGGTTGGCGGAGTATGCGCGTCTAAATCTCCATCCGCCTCTTCCGCATCCTGCGCCTCGGCTTGCTCTTTCCTCTGCTGAGCCATTCGTTCGGAAGCAGCTCTTTTGGCAGCCAGCAGAGCGCTCGAGGGCCCGCCTGGCCTGCGAGGCGGTGCGGCCGAGACTGTACGTGCCTTAGCGGTCGTCGCATTTGCAGTGCCAGATTGCGAGGTTGCAGCAGCAGTAGCAATCTGCTTCCTAGTCGTTGGATCCAGCGATTCCAAAAGACGTTCAGCCTCAACCGGCCACACAGTTTGAAACCGCCCAAACCCCTCCCTCGCTTTCGAGCGAACATCCGGATTCGGATCGGGCAGAGCCTTCTTGAAGAAGTTCTGAAGCGTCTCAAGTCCGCTGTGCGCTTCGAGCTGATGTTTGCGATTTAACGCGTTCCTCTCGAGAACAGTGCATAGATGCACGCAAGCAAAACTTCTTATAGCCACGTTTTTCTCTTGTAGGCCGCCCCAAAGCGCTTCCAAGAATGTGGCTCGATACGAGACGTTCTGCAAGATGAGAGCGACTGCGCTCTGCGCAGCATTGGCAACCAGCTTCTTGGTGAAGCCTGCCATGCCAAAGAGACTGGTGAAGAAAAGATCGACTACGGACTCGTGCAACTCATCTCCGAGCGCAACAACAGCTTCTCCGACAAGACTGATGCTGTGCATAGCCAAAGTGGTGCGCAGGCTGGCCGTCTGTTCAGCAGGAAAGAATGCTCATCAGCATGCAAGAAATTGCCTCAAGCCAATCTCACCAATCGCTTACACCTTTGCAAATGCCCGCTCCTAGCCCTCGTATCTCCTTCGCCAAAGACTGTCCTAATTTCTCCGCAGTTCCCGTGCGCAAGATGCCTCTGATTTTAATCATCGACGTTTCCCTGGCTGCCCAATTGTGTTCTGTCTCCTTGCCCTCAAAGATGGCCTGCATAGGCGCAAACGTGCGCTCAATGTCTGCCCTCGACGCAACGTACACCATCGGCACATCATCCTGAGCAGACGGCGTTGGCTCACCACGTGCCATTGTCTGTGGTCCTGTTGGCGCGGCACGCGAGATGCCTGGTCGTGCAGCGCTACCAGCCTGAAGCTCAGCGTCCCCATCAGCGCCCGCGAGATCAGCAGGAGGTTCAACGACTCCCGCAAAAACGGAAGCGAGGAGCGGATCTGCCGTCTGCTTCCTCACTTGCTTCCTCTCCAGCTCCTTTTTCAGATCAGTCTTGGCCGCTGCAGGTGCCGGCGCGAAGAGGGCGACGACAGATTGCCTAGCTGCTTCTCTAGTAGGGCCATCGGCGTCGGACAGAAGGTCGACGAGGTTAGGAAGGATCGGCTTGAGCTGCAGAGCATTCTTCACTTGGTGCCTCAGGATCGGCAAGTGAGTCGTTGTCTGCACAATGGCAGAGACGATACGTGAGCAGCGGACACTTCCGTGAAGCGAGCACAATGCTTGCCAGCCACTCACACCTTCTCTAACCCTCGGACTTTTGGCAGCCAGTCCATTGTCTTTTAAAACTCTCATGAACGCCGCGCTGGGTGTCTCTTTGCTGCTGGAGCCGCTGAGCTGCGTCGATGCAAGCGTAGCCTCCGCAATGGCATCCAACGCATCCCTTGCGACAGATTTGACCCTCTCCTTGCCATCGCCTATCCTCTCCAGCACAGCGGTCAACCACTTGTCTGCGACTCGACACAACAACGAAGCCGCGTTCGAGGCTTCCCTGATGGACTGGATGAGGCCTGATATGGAAGCGAGTGCCGGAACGAACAGGCCGGGGTGACTGTGCCTGAGCGCCTTTTGCAAGGGGTCGATCAGGGCAAGAGGATCCGGAGCCTGCGGTCCATCGGCATCGAGGTGACACATCACAAGGGCGACTAGACGATGAGCTGACGGACTCGTGGCTTGGGTGCAAGCAATGCTGCTGACTCACGGGTGCGGTTAAAAGGCGCGTGATGAGCAGCGATAGCGCCGTCGCTCGCTTGTCCACGTCGTTGGCTGAAGAGTCCAAGATGGCCAAATTCTCAGCGATGCGCTCCGCATGCTCCTGCTCATCGAAGGCGCTGCTTGATGCCATCGCAGGAGGTATGCCACGCTCTGACGCCAATCGAAGTCCGCTCTTGTTAGAACGTCTATCCAGCTCTCTGTGATACTCCTAGTCTGGACGGAGAGCCGAGGCTTTCCGATGATCTCGAATGTTTACTGTCACGACGCGTCTGATGCTGATGTAGGAGGACGACGCGAGACTTGTTGGCACGAGACCGCTGGTGACGACACAATCGAGTAGAATTCGTGAGGCGGGAGCTAAAGAAAATAAGTCGAATGGGGTGATGCCAAAGAGAAGGCAATGACCAGCTCAATCTGAATGGTGCGTGTTGTTGTTGTTGTTTGTCCGAAATTCGCTGATTCTTGATGCTCGCTTGCGCGACGCTCGATGCTTCGACGGTCGAGGGTCTGTCTGAGCGTGCATCGCCGCAACAGCAGCCGGACGCTGCGCCGACGCAAAGCAGCAGCGCAGCGCGATCTGCATCAGCCAACTTCCCGCTCACGCGCGTCGACGCGACGTCAAACACAAGTCACACCGACCGCCATGGAGACCAAGTCACACCTGCATATATACCTACAGGCATGTTGCTTGACAGCCGTGCACGAGGTTGATATGAAAGTGTGAGTGCGTGAGTGACCAGCAGTCGTGAGTGTTCTGTGACCAGTGCATGGCAACACTCGCGACTCGGGCTCTTGACTATACACTGGAGCCAGGTGTTGCAGGGATAGGTGCCATGAATCTTTGAATGGATATTGCCCTGCATTGTGTCCCTTTCAAGGCGTTGGCGATGGATGGGTCTCTGGGCGCAAGTCAAATCAGAGGCAATGTGCCGTCAAAGTATGGTGGTGCCAGGTGGTGTTCTCTCAGCAGCTGATATGATTCGCACGCCTGTCACATGGCATACAATGTGAATGTGAATATCAACCTTGATGCGATCACGAATGATTCACGCTCGTAGTTGCCACGTGAGGCCTTTGCGACCTCCGGTTGAAACGAACGAAATGGCGGACAATCATGAATCAAAAATCTTGAATGCGAGGCCCGACCACCAGTTCGGTTCGCAATCTTCTTCGCACGCCGAGTAGAACCTGCACTCACGAACGAGGACGATGTTGATGCAATGTTCGGCTCCAAATCGCTTTGTCGAGAGCTGAGCGAGCGCGTGAGTGCGGGTGCGCTGCGCAACGGGCTGCTGCACGCCGCACCACTCACTCACTTGTAGGGATGGGTTTGTCACGTCAAATATAAATTTGGCAATGTGAAATCACAAAAATCACATGTGAACAGCTGCATATCACATGTGACAAATGTGACATTTTTGGACCTTGTGCATGACACTCAAGCAGTGTCCAACATATAGGGGCCAAGCAGTCAGCGCACAGCTCATGCAGGCAATGTGACATGTGATCAGCTCAGGCCAGTTTGGTGTGATTTCACGTGACAAATGTGATTTCACACTGTCACGGTGACTGTGACTGGCCATCCCTACTCACTTGCATTCACGAACAAGCACGCCCAGCTGCAGGGCCGCTCGATCGAGCTCAGCAGCACCATCACGCAGCAGCTAAAGAGACGTGTGCGGCCTGCTGCTGCGTGTGGAGAACATCGAAGCGGATGCTTGTGCCGTGCTGCCGGCGTGCATGCGGGGGAAAGGATATTGTGATTGCTTGCCCGCCAGCTGCTCACATGTATGCAGCCACATCAGTTAAAAGCCAAAGCATTCCCTCACCTCCATCCTTGCAAATGTAATGCTACTTCCTACAGCTCACTCAACATCACACAGCAAGTCTTGAACCACACTTTCATCTTACCGCCCAGCATGGCGCTCAGCAGCAATCCCAAAGACCTCGTCAACCTGCGCAAGCAGCTTGCATTCTAGTAAGTGGTCCTCACTTTGAACTGTCTAGGCATGTGCACCAAACGTCTGGTCAAGCGGCACTCGAGCTGACATTCTACTCTCCCCAGCGGAGCATACCACACCAACCCAGTCAATGTTGCCATTCACATCGTTGGCGTGCCGACCATCATCTTGTGAGCAAGAGCACCCTGCGATCCTTTCAAGGGCCAAGACGACGTTGGAGCAGGATGAACGCATCAAAGACGCACTGACAGGATCTTCCCAAATGCTTCCACGACAGCGGCACAGAATGCTTGCTTGCTGCCATAGGTCCCTTGCAAGCACCCGAATGGGCCAAGCCGCTGCTCGACTCTCTCTCTGACGCCGCACCAGACATTGTCTCGAAGTATGCCAGGCTCAATTGGCCTGCACTCTTTGCGGTCTCGTACTGGCTGTACTACACTCTACTGGATTACGTGGCAGCGGTAAGTATTCATCCCATCTCGTGCCCAACGCTCTTGGCTGATCACACCACTTTTGCTCTAACCTCCAGATACTGCTGCTTCCTATCTGGGCTGGTCTGTACTTTGCTGTGCAGTACGTTGCTTTGGATCATCCGGCCGATCTGGTCAAGGTTGGGTCCATCGCTTCAGCAATCGGTTGGATTAGTCAGTTCTATGGTCATGGCGTACATGAGGGAAGGGCCCCAGCAGTGAGTACCCTTCAACGTTGCTAGGGGGACAGGTAGCGCGACAGGGGGCACCACCCTTCGGCTAGTCCACCGACTTGCATGGGCAAGGAGGCGCAGGTAATATGAAAGTGGCAGGGGAGCAAGATCTTGATGTAGCGGACCAAGCATGCATGTATGCATTTCAGGTGACATGCAGCGCTGACCTTTTCGCATCCATCATCTCAGCTGCTGGACAATCTGTTGGGAGCAGTCGTCCTTGCGCCATTCTTCGTTTGGCTGGAGGTCATCTTTCAC